GATTTACTGTATTTTCGATAATTATCCATAATTATAATTCAATTATTGATTTTGATTTCTTTTTTTAATAAATGTATTCATTGTTAATAAAAAGTTAACATTATCAAATATATTATGCATTTACAAAATTATATTAATTAATATTACAATATCAATAATAATAAACGGAATTAAGACATTTAAGTACAAAATATTTTTAAAATAGAAAAAAATATACAGAATGCATTTACAAAATTATAGAATAAATATACAGAATATTCACAATACCATACCATTTTGCATACAGAACATAATGCTTACAATTTTACAATTAGATAGATTAGATAATAAATATAGTAATGTTATAGAAACTAATAAAAATCTTAATAAAATGTGGTTTTTATGTGGTTAAAATAAAGTTTATTTAAGATATTTCGTAAGATATATTTTATTCAAATAAAATTTATATAAAATATTATATTAATTCTTAAAGTTATTCGATGTCACTATGTTTCAACTTTCAACAAATGCACGATTATTATGTTTCAATATTTGTAATAGTGCCAGGATTTCTTTAATTTTTCAAAATTTACGATATTCATGATTTATACATGTATAAATAAATAAATATTTCAATAACATAACAGCTTCTATTAATTAAAAACGTAGTTCATCTATTGCAAAATTATTCTACAAATACAATACAATACAATAACAATTACTAAACAAAATAATAATTATTTCTTTTTAGAATTTTATATATAAGTAATAATAGTAATATTTTATTTCAAAGAATAAATCTTATGGTATAATATATATATGTATACATATATCTATTTATATACATAATTTACAGATATGAAATTAAAAAATTAAATATTCGATATCATATCATATTATAAATATGCAATATATGCAATATTATATAAACAATATAACTAATATCATCAGCAATAGCTATTTTAATAAAAATAAAAAATTTTTGATATTTTATTACATTGCTGTGTAAGATACATCAATTATAGAAAAAAGATATATCATATATAAATTCGAAGACTGAACTATAAGACTGAAAAATAATTGCTAATATGTTAATTTATATATATGATTTTGCTTATTTATTTTGCTGCGCTCCTTATCCACCTAACGAATCAACCTACCACGCCGGACCAAGCCGAGACATGATTCCCATTATTCATATTTATTGAATCAATCCTATTTTTTAAATTAAAAAATTTTGTTCATTTTAAAAAAAATCTCTGCATGCTCTTTTTTTCTTTCTCTTTGTATCTTTCTCTTCTCTTTTTCTCTTTCTCTCTATTGGAATACGTTATTCAAGACAAGTGCAAAAATTGGAGTGAATCCTCGCCTATTCTTGCGTCAAGGTTGATACCGTAACGGCATTGTAAAAGACAGAACGGACGCGGAACCTGCTTCCAGGTCACAATATGTCCGGCGTGGATGGTAACAGCACGGAAGGAGAATCCGCGTGCGGACGTGGACCTGCTCAAACCGGGCCAGGCTGTTATCGTAACTATGAGCATTACAGTCTCTCGCGACATCGTCGCAGCGCCTCGTCTTGCTTCCCAAATTTACCTAATGATATGCCGACTACACCGGACAGTCCGAACCGTCGTCTCTTGGATTTTGCTCAAAGTATACCTGGAACACAGACCGATGATTATTTTCACGACGATGTACCGGCCCAGCATGTGAATCAAGGCAATACAACACCTAGCGTAAGTCCCGCCGTTAGAATTCATATAAGTGATTATTAGTATTATTTTCGATGTGTGTTTTTATTTTGTGTGTGCGCGCCTGAAGACTAGGCATGCACGGGCATTTGATCATACTTTGGTCAGACAGGGCTCGATTTTCATTTAGTTCATTAGAAATGTATCATTATTTGATAAGCATTATTCATGAACAAGTAATTTTTCATAATGTTTTAAATCCAATAAATTAAATAATTTGCGATTTGAAAAACATAAAATGAAAATTTAGCAAATTTTTATTAGAAATTTATTATTTTTATTTACAAAATGGTTTTAAAAAAAAACTATTCTTATAAAATTATATCTGAAAAATATTTTTGTAAAAAAAAAAATACGGGATATGCCATTATGATTTTCATACTTCCATATATATCTCAAATAAATTGAAAAAATGTTTCATAAATTAAAATTTCATTTGAGAAGATAAATAATATGTAGAAATAATATAGAATTAAAATTTATTAATTTTCTCCATTATCTCGATCAAATAATAAGAATTTATATTCAGACAAATGAATTCAATCAATCGGATTAATTAAGCACTGATTTTGTTTTAATAAATGGAATATAGAATTGTTATTTTATTTACTACAGAATTTTCAATTTTGATTTATTTTTTAAGATTATTCTATATTGGATAAAAAATGAAAATTTAAAATTATAAAAACTTTGTAACACAGGCTTGTATTTGTCTATACTAATGAATATAAGAAGTAAATAAATAAAAATCTATTATTTAATAATAATAATAAAATAAATAAGTAAAAATTTAATCTAAATTCATTTCATTTCAATATAGTAAATATTTTTATGTATTTTTTTCTATAGGAAAAGTTCCTTTAGTAACGAATTTAAGCTTTTTCTCAAATAAATAGAAAAAATTTATTTTTTCTATATTGATTTATTCATAAATTAACAATATTAAATATCAAAATAAGGCAATAAAATAGTTAAAATTATCGTAATAATTACCTTAAATTAATCAAATTTTGATATAAAATTTTCGAAGAATTAAAAAGTAGCATCTAATGCTTGATTTATTGAAAATTAATATAATATTATAGATTATAACGAAAATTAATATAATTTATAATAATAGTAAATATAGTTATTTGAATACTCAGAGAAATCAATACGATCAATACTTGCTATGTTTATTTTTGGCAGTTTGAACATTATATCCAATTTTCTTCATTATTTTCTAAACAAATCATAGACAATCTTTTTATTTTCTTTTCTTAGTTTAATATTTTATTTTCTTATTTATTTTATATATCATTTTCATATATCATTATTTTATATATATCATTTGTTTTATTTTTCGATTATTTTTTTTATTTTATTTTCAATTATTAATAGTGAATTTGAAGTAAATTTCATTTTTTTCGGATTTTTTGTCTTTGCTTCTATTCGTTTCTTTCTAACATTTGATAACGGAGACAACTTTGTAATGTTTTTTTAAATGTTCTAAACTACTGTACGATTGATACTTCTTCATTCATTTTTTTAGAAGATATTTTAGATTATAGATATTCTTTATTGATTCATTATTTTTTTTAATGGAATGAATAAATTAAATATTTAAAAATAGCGAAAAATTTTGATGAATTTCGTAAATTTTAATATCTATGATTATGGTTTAGACATTAATGTAAATAGAGATTATATTAGATTGAGATACTGTATGATAACAGGAGACAAGGTCTAGAATCCGGATTATTAGGATATATTAAGTTTTTTTTTATGAAAACCAATATTCAAATATACAAAATACGAAAAAAGAATATTTATCAAAAATACTTAAAAAGAATATTTGTCAAAAAATAATAATAACACAATAAATATAATAACTCATTAAAACTTATAACACAACTATTAAAAATATTTCTTTTATAAAAATCTATATACGCAAAATACAAAAATAATTTAAAAAAATTATCAATCAAATATAATAATAATTCATCTGTCAATGTCTTTTGACTACGAAAATTGGTAAATATAATAATTTAAAATTTATATGATATCATATAGATTTTCCGGTAATAAACGGCAACATAATCAATGTCTTTTATTTATACACGTAAAACATGTCGAAATCTATGTTTTATTTTCACTAATTTATTCAAATAAGAAATAATTAATAGCATTTCAATTATTAGAGATATGGCTAATATAATCATATCAGCATTAGAAAAATCTCCACTATATATTTTTTATACTATATTTAAGTATATTTTATATATAAAATATATGAATATAATAAAAGTAAATAAATTGAAAATATTACAAATATATTAAATATAGAAAATAAAAAATCCATAAAGTTATATTCAAAATATGCGAAATCTAAGATATTTTTTTTTAATATGAATTATATGAGAAATAATAGCGGATAAATATAATGGAATATCTCATACAAAAATATGTTCGAAATTCGAAAATAATAACATACTTGCTAAATAATCATTTCGAATTGTATATAAATGTATTTTATATGTGTGTAATTTTTCCATCATATGTCATTTATTATTTATTTATTCTCTTCATTTTCTATGATAAAAGCAATTTATGTTTAAAATAAAAATCATAGTTTATCTTAGCGATGATCAATGCTTTTCCATAAATAAACATTTATATATTCGTTTATATTTTCGAAATTATTATAATATCATATATTAGTTTACTAATAAATCTATTTTATAATTTATTTCTATAATTTATGATACATTTCTATCTATGATATGATATGTTGGGTATATTATAAAATAATCTTTATATTTCTTTATTTCAACATATATACATATATTATAATACATTTTTCATGTATATACATTTTATTTTGTTAATACGACAATCATAAATTAATCATATATTTGATTATAATAAGAGATTGAATATAAATTTAAGATTTATATTAAATTTGATAAAAGAAATTCGAGCCCGTCTGTAAAAATAGAATCGTTTGTAAATTTCTATTCATACATGGTTACTAATGGCGCAATTATCAGAACATCAATGCGGTCGCATTGGATGCAAACTAATAATAAACTAATAATAATTTTAATCAGATTATATAGATATTTAATGATGTAATTTTTAATATATATACAATTTTATTTGTATTATTATATATAAACAGGATGTTAATATTTCTGTGAGAAATTTTTAGAGAATTGATTAGAATTGATTAGAAAGGATTAGATTTAAGGATTGATTACAGGATAGGATATGGTCTAAAGACTATAAAAGTTCGCAAATAAAAATATCGATTAAAGTTATAGTTATTATTTCAATTGTTTATATATATAAGCAATTGAAGCTCGTGTTAAACAAAACAAATAGATCATTCTGTCTCTATTACAATACTGGCATTTTATTTCCATCAATTCTTTCTAACATAAACTTAAATTATTTAAATTATTAATTTTAAATTATTATATATAATGATATAATAAATAAGCCTCAATCGAGGCAATTTTTTTGTTTGTATTATCGTGTAGAAATCGATCCTTCAAAGATATCTCACAAATTTATTAATACCTTGTATAAAAAAAGTTGAATGAAAAATATTTTATAACTTTTATAAAAACCAAATTATTTTTTATAATAAAAAATATGAAAAAAAATTTATTAATAAAAAAAATATCTGATGTTTAAAATTGAAATAACTGTGCTTTTTATTTGATATATTTATTTTTTAATATAATATCGTATAATCATTTTCCTTTTTTTTTTATAATTCTTTCAATGATAAAAACAAGTTTCAAAAATTTTAAAATTGATTATGAGATGAACAATTTTTTTTAATTTTGAAGAAAAAGAAGAAAATGAAAATTGATGAAATCATTTTGATATGATTGATATGAAATCAATTATGATAAATTGTATGTAGTTAATTTAAAATTTTAAAATCCAATTTTTTATATTGTTATATCATCAATAAGTAATAAATGATTGCTTTATATTACATATATTTTCATTCCATAAAATATGATAATTAAATAATCTTTTCATACAATTGTTTCTCTTATTAAATATATAATAAAAATATCAAAAAAATAATAATAATTTATATTAATATTGTTATTCATTATAAAATATAAATATGAAAGATAATTATAAAATCCAATATATTATTTTTCATTCAGCTCTCTCATACAAATAAAATGAACGATAAACTATGAATTAACATTTTAAATTGTAATGTAAGTTTATAAGTTAAAATAATGAAACTAATAAAAATAATAAAATATTGTCTCTGCAAGATTAACCGTTAATAATGTACAAAGCGTTTGATATGACAGATACATATTTAAATTTAATATCGAAAAAAAGAAAATTTTGTATATTTATTTCAAATACACTCGCTTTTTTGTTATGTGAACATCTTTTTTTTTTGTTTTTATTTATTACTTATATACATGTTTGCATCAAATATATGCTTTCATCATCGGTGTAATATCTATTGGAAAGAATGTGCATCCAATGATATCGTTCTTGTTTGAATTGATGTAAATTTATTAGTATCGAACAGCCACGGCACAACTTTGTTTTTCACACCGCCGTGTTATTAAAATGATAAATTTGGATCTCAATGATGAATGACACAATGTACCCAAGCACGCCTAGTATAAACAATTTTCTATTTCGTTTTTTTTTTTCTATGAGAAGAAAACACATCGAGCGTTATTGAAGAAAAAAAAAAAGGAATAAGATAAAGCACACAAATTGTTCGATGTGCAACTTCTTACCTATATATGTTTGCTCGTTTTTTTTTTTTTTTTACGGAATACTTGGGATGAATTAATTGATGTCTTATAAACTTATGTACAACTTCTTTTATATCAACGAAATTGTTACCAGAATTTGGAAATCAAATCTGGCACGTAATGATTAAATAAATTTCTCAATAAAAATTTTTTTTTTAATCTTTTTTAAATGTTTCGAATATTATTTGTTAAAAT